AATTATAAGGATCTCTGGTGGTGTGCTGGTTAAGGCATTTGGTTGCTAACAAAGGTGGGTGGTTCGAACCCACCAGCCGCTCTGCCGAAAAAAGATGAGGTAGTCTGCTTCTGTAAGAATTTACAGCTTTGGAAATGCAATGAGGTTTGCTATGAGTTGAAATTGCCTCCATGGCAATGAGTTTGGTTCTGATTTTGTTTCAATTATATATCTTCAAGTATGCATGGGTGCACTGGGTTCTGATATAAAATGTATTCTTACAGTGGGTCATAAAAAAAAAAAATAGTTAAAAAAATACCATGGGGGAAAAATAGCGGTGGTTTTGAAAAGACTCTATTAATTAATCTCTAAAGGTTTCTTCTCCTAGGTTAACACAGTCATCGTCTAACCAAAAGACTGGAAATTTGAGTCTATGTAGAGGTGTCTTAGAAGAAAGTCTTGGCTATGTACTTCCAAAACATCAGCCATTGAAAACCCTATGGAGTGCAGTTCCACTTACTGCACTGACTAAGACTCAAGAGCAATTAACAGAAGTGTGAGTGGACCTCCCTTGATTGTTTTTCTTGGTCTTAATCTTAGTGAATGTAAAAATGGTGTGACAGTGGCAGCTGATCTCCTCTAACTTCACAAGGGGGAAAGTGAATCAAGCTCAACAGCCCAAGGATGATTCCTATGAGGTGGAGGTCAGGCATACTTCCTCTCTCCAGTCTTTTTACCAATTCTGACACCAGCCATCCTTTCATGGCACTTTCTACTATGATGGATTCAATAATTTGTTGCAACAGTCACACAAAACTCACAGACCATATTTCATATTTATTATTAGAATTCACCCAGCATACTCACAGTTATGAAGTTTATTAGAGAAGTGACAGGTTACAATTCAGGTTCAGGAACAGTTCAGTATACAGTTCTTTGGTCAGGATAGCTGCTTGACGGTGCCCATAAGCAAGCCACTCCCTCAGCCCCTGGGCCCCTTATGTTGGCTTCTGCCCTGCTTGGGCAAGTGTTAAAAAGCTCTTTTGCTACTTTGATAAGTGCCCAGAGGCATCTCACTCTACCAAGAAACCTCCTGCCCAAAGGCATTCAACTCTCTTGCTCCATGGGTTGGCAAGTCTGCTATAACCAATTTGTTTCATGGACCATGTAGCCCACTGTACCATCTTGCACTGTTCTCCCAGTTCTGCAGCTACTGTTTCTCTGACACTACTTCTCGTCACCTTGTACCGTTTCCAATGTTATAGCTATCTCTTTGTTTTGGGTCCAGGAGATTCTCAGTGCAGGGACTTGGGTCCAAAGAACATGCTGTACTCCCAGTTCTTCTTCTTGGTGGTAGTGAAATTCCTCCTTTCCAGCCCTGTGATGGCTTATTTTAAGCATAGCAGGATAGCAAAACTGACAAATCCCCTCCCTAGGGTTCCATATACCTTATTTTTTGTGTACTTTGGAGATGTTGTCAGGAGGGACCAGTCCCTGGAGAAGGACATCATGGAGTCAGTGAAAAAGAGGAAAGCAAGGAGTCAGTGAAAAAGAGGAAGACCCTCAATGAGATGGATTGACACAGTTGCTGCAACAGTGGGCTCAAACAGAGAAATGACTGTGAGGATGACACAGGAACAGGCAGTGTTTCATTCTCTTGTTGACCGGATGGCACCTAACAATAACCCCCCCCCCACACACCCTATTTGCATTATTTGCAAGTATCTTATTTCCATAATCCCACTAATATTTGGTAAGAGTTATAAGATCATGGAAAAAAAAGTCATATGAAAGCAATTCATCACACTGCAGCGCAAAAGCACTCAGTCTTTGCCCGCCCATTAATTATGATGTTAGCTGTTTTTCATAGATGTTCTTTATCAGATTGAGGAATCCTCCTTCTAATCCTCGGTTGTTGTTTTTTTTTTTTTTAAATTATAAATGAGTATTGAATTTCTTCAAGTGTTTTTTGCTTTTATTTAGATGATTAAAAAAAATTCTGTTAATGCCATGTATTACAATGATTGATTTGTCAATATTAAATAAACCTTCTATGCTTGGTGATGGTGCTCAAAAAAACAAGCTCACTGCTGTCAAGTCAATAGCGACCCCTACTTGGGTTTCCAAGGCAGTATCACTACAGAAGTAGGATTGCCCAAGCTTCCTTCCTAGGAGTGGCTGGTGGGTTTGAACCGCCAGCCTTCTGGTTAGCAGTCAAGTGCCTTAGGCACTATGCTACCAGAATGTATATTTTACTTTCAATTTTATATCCTTCTATACTCTGATAAAGAGCTGTTGTGGTGTACTGCCTGAGGCATTTGACTGCTTGCCAGAATGTTGGTGGTTCAAACCCCCCAGCCACTCCACAGAAGATGGGGCAATCTATTTTCATAATGATTTATCACCTCAGAAACCAAATGAGGGCTGCTATGAGTGGGAATCTACTCAACGGCAGAGTTTAGTTTTTGGTTTATCCTCTTTCTGAAAGGAGCTCTGGTGGCATAGTGAGTAAGGCATTTGGCTGCTAGCCAGAAGGTCAGGGGTTCAAACCCATCAGCTGCTCCATGGGAAGAAGAGGAGGCACTCTACTTTGGTAAAGATTTACAGCCTTGGAAACCCAATGGGGGTAGCAACGAGTTGGAATTGACCTGATGGCAATGGGCTTGATTTTTTTTTTTTTTTTTTAAATACTCTGAAAAAGGCTCTCTGATGGCTCTGTGGTTAAGGCATTTGGCTGCTAATGAAAAGGTTAGCAGTTCAAACCCACTAGCTGCTCCACAGAAGGACGAAGAGGCAGTCTGCTTCCATAAAGATTTACAGCTTTGGAAACCCTATGGTGCAGTTCTACTCTGACCTATAATGTTTCTATGATTGATTGCAGTGGGGTTTTTGGATACTCTGAATATTTACAAAGTGTAATCTGAAAAATGCTGGGTCTGACCCTGGAGCAGCCAAGCCAATAGTCCACACCAGAGTTCCAGGAAAAGAGAGTTTAATTAGGAGATACACCAATGAGACACAGATAGGATTTCAGTGACTCCAAAAACACCCGTGCACCCGCTATGCTCAGCACTTACAATCAGGGGTTCTCATACTAAAGGAAAAAGAGACACAGTATGTATGCAAGATTAGTTAACAATTTCCCAAAAGTTAGATCGAGCAATGGATAATTAAGAAAGGAATGTTTCCTGTGAATCCCCAGCAGTCAGGTAATCCTTAGGAGGCTCTACTGGTGTTTGTCAAAGCCCAGGTGGCCGGTCCTAAAGTCCTGCCCAGGAGCCTTTATTGACACAGATAGTTCTGTCTTAGATAAGGGGATACAGCAGGAACTGAGAACTGTAACTTAGAGAGAGAACAAGTTAATTGTAACAGAAGGTTGAAGCCAGGTTTTAAAAAAACGGCATCTTAACAAAAAATATACAGTCAGACCTAACAAAGCAAAAAGTTTTATCCCCACACAAACCATTTTTGAAAGTGAATTTAGCAGAATAGATAAAACTGTAACTGTGTGTAGTCTTCCAATTAGCAATCTCACTGAATAGGTATTTTAGAGAAATACTTACGTGTACTAAGAAACAGTTTTGATTCTCCTGGAATTCATATTTCTGGGGTCCATGGAGTTGGGATGACTCACCCAGGCCCTTTTCCCCCAGGTGATCTTTTGAACCTCGAGAAAACTAGTTTCTAAAAGTCACCTTTGAATCAGATAGTGTCTAGGAGCAGTTTTGCCTTAGATTTGTGCTCTTTTGAAGAATTATCTACATGTAGTCAATTTTGAGAAAAAGAGACTGTACAGGTTGGAGCAGAGCTGTATTTTAGGGTAAATCAGTAATTATTTAAATTGTTCAAGACAATGCTCATGACATCTCCCTGATTGCAAATTGTTTTGTCAGTTTTGTTCTAGTCCTTTTCCATGGTAATGTCTATAAGATGTGGTATAAGAATTTTGGAACATTTTTTGACTCCCTAGTTGAAATGTTACCTTGATTTGCAAATCGTATATTAAATAAACTTTTATTATAAAATAAAATAAATAAATACTTATTATTGGTAAGATATGATTTTTGTTTTAATACTACAAATTACGTACAACGTTTATTACAGAAATATTTTTAACAGTGAATTAATGGAAACCATGTGAATGTCTATCAGTAGAAAATGGTCAAACCCACCAGCCACTCCTCGGAAGGAAGGTTGGGCAATCCTACTTCCTTAGTGATACTGCCTCGGAAACCGAAGGAGGGGTCGCTATGAGTCGGGTCCGACTCGACGGCAAATAACAACAACAACATATTACATGATGCTTTGTATTTACATATACATATATTTTAGTGTTTTTACACAAATTGATATGCTATACGTGTGTTGCACTTTTTTTCCCCTTTAAATCTTGGATTTTCGCCAATTGCCTTAACATCTATATAGATACGGCACTCCCTCTAACTAGTGCAGAATATTTCAACAGGTATCGTCCTGGAAAATCCGTGATAAAAGATTCCATTAAACAGTGAATCAGTCTGCTATTTTTAATGTTTAGTTTCTGGAGTTAAAATGCAGCATGTCCACATCTGGATCTTCCATTTCCTGTAGGTTTCCAGTTTAAGATTACAGACCGGCGGATAACCCTTTTTGTGCCAGGAAACTACGGTTATGATGTAACTCTTGGAAGAAGAAAAAGCGCCAGGTTTCAAGATGGTGCCCACCCTCCCGGACCACCGCAGCCACCTGCCGGGGGCAAGATGGCGTTTTCCTTCATCGCTTCTCTGGCAGGAATATTCTACAAAGTGAGTCACGCAGGAAGGCATCTTTGCCATTACTCAAGATGGTGTAAAGCAGCTTCATCGAGTCCAGCTTTCAACATGGCTTCCCCAGCCGCGGCACCGAAGAGGTTAATAGCAGGGTGAAGGTAAATTCGCGCGGAAGTGGTGTAACCGGAAGATGTCGCGTACCGCAACTCCTCGCCCCTGTGGCCTGGTCCCCGGTCTACACCCGCCCCCAGTGGCTCAGAGAACTGAGCCAAGATGGCGGCCGAGTTGGAGTACGAGTCAGTTTTGTGTGTGAAGCCGGACGTCAGTGTCTACCGCATTCCGCCTCGGGCCTCCAACCGCGGCTACAGGTACTAACCCTGAGACCCTGTCGCACACATTTACTCCGCTGGGAATGAGTTTCCTCCTTCTGTAACACGCTGCCCATTCCTCTCCTTTACCATCTTTGGGTTGTCATCCTGCTAGCCTCCCTACCTGGGTCTTCATCGTCCGGTTCCCCTGGACCTCTATCACTCTAAGACTGTCATCATTCTTGTTTTCACTGCTTCCTCCCATCGCCCCCTCCCCAGTGCCCACTGGGTTATTCTGTTCCCCATTTTATTCATATTCAGACGTACCTGCTCTGTCGCCAGTCACCTTCCTTCACTCTTCTCTGCGTCCTTCAGCTTGTCACCCTCATCCTCCCTTTCTTACACGTACACACACACACACACACACACTCACACACACTCTCTCTCTCTCCCTCTTAATACCCCAGCCACATTTGTGGGTAATCATTGTGTTATTGATCTCTCTCTGGACGATCTGATTTATCTTTTGTGCTGCTGTTAGTTTCCTCACTAAATGTCATCCACTATTTGGTTTTACCTTCAGCTGTTCTCCCACTAGGCAAAAGTTATGACCATTATTTTTTCCAATTGTTGTTCATTATGTTTCTTTTCATCATATTTTCATGATAATGATACAGTATTTCCTGCCTTCCTTCCCTCCCTCCCCTTTAGCCTCCTCTTCTATAGCTTTTCCCTCCAGAGCGAATGCAGCATTTTCTCTGTAGGGCCTGACTAACCACGTTGTAATCCAGTGGCTGTGAGAGCCTGAGGATGCTGTATGATGTCATGGACTTGAAAGAGCACTCAGTGGTTATGTGTTGAAAGATATGGAGATGAGCCCTGACCATTTAACAGCTGTATTGATTTTGGACAAATCTCTTAACCTCTCTGAGCCTCAACTCTTCTCATTTGTAAAATAGTGGGGGGAAAAAAAAGTTAATGATAATAAAACATGCTCTACTTATGTAACTCACAGAGTTTTTTTGGAAGGTTAAATGAAATCATAAAATGGATGTGAAAGAATTTGGGAAACTCTAAAGCAATACATAAAGTATAAGATACCATTCTTATTCCTTTCTGATCCAAGTGACCATCATGATTTCCAAGTGATAATCATTACCATGGCAGTTATCGTTACGTTGGCTGAAAAGTTGTTTTATCCATAGGTCCATTATGATTTTGCCTTCTTACCAGGAGTTTCATTCATCATGAATCAGTATCTTTATGCTTTCGACCTGTTCACTAGACCATGTTCACTTTGACACAGAGATAATCCTACTTTTAAGAAGCTTTCAATCAGACCCCAAATTGACCATCAATAAGAATCTACATACTTTTTTGTTGACAGTCATAGGTACTATATAAGAGTATGACTCACTTTAGCCATTACTTTCTTTGGGAAGCCCTCCCTGACCCTCCCATTCTGGCTCACGTATGCTCTCTGTGTACTTCCATAACACACTATGTTTATCTCCATCATAGCACTCTTCATTTTGTATTGTAATCCACTGTTTTGTCACCTCTTTCCCCTGACTAATGAGCTCTGATGGTGCTGTGGTTAAAGCATTAGGCTGCTAACCAAAAGGTCAGCCATTTGAACCCACGAGCGCTCTGCGGGAGCAAGATGAGGGAGTCTGCTTCCGTAGAGATTTACAGCCTTGAAAACCCTATGGGGCAGTTGTACTCTGTCCTGTAGGGTCACTGTGAGTTGGAATCAACTCAGTGGCAGTGGATTTCCTCAGACTAGATTGTGAATTACTTCAGGTCTTTAACTTTATATTCCTCATGTCTGGCATGTAAGTGGAGACTCTATAAATGTTGAGTGAAAAAAATTAGTAGATCACACAGATAAACCTAATCACATAAATCGGCATTATTATTATTAAATAAGCTAAAATAGCTCATGACTTTCAGTTTTAGGAGTTAACACTTTTTAAAGGATATATTGATATATATTGATGCAGATTGAAGTGGGGTGCTATTCTTTTTCTTCAAGGTTTGCTTTTTTTTTAAAAAAAAAAAAAGATACACTTTCCTCCTTTCACCCCTCTGCATTCTCTACCTTCACTTCTTAGGTTATCCACAGCTTTTTTCCCTCATGTCACTTCACTGCACAGCAGTTTCTTAAATTTCCTCTTTTACCCATTAGCCTTCTGTGTTTTCTATGCTTATTATTGACATTTCCAATTCTCCAGGAGTTGTTTTATCATTAACAGCTCTTTTAGTGTCATGAGTGAAGAGAGCAGAACTAAATTTGAATCTTGGCTCTATCATTTATTTGCCAGGTTATCTTTGACAGATCACTTAACTCTTTTGAACTTTAGTTTCTTTACCTATAAAAATGGGGGTAATAATTCTTGCCTTGCAAGGTTCTCCCACTTAATTTTCACAACAGGGGACATAGTGCCTGTCACATAACAGATGCTTAGTAAATACTACTTTTCTTCTTTTTGTCTGCTGTAATCTTTTCTTTCTTTCTTTCTTTTTTTCTAACTCATTAATCAGAACTCATTTTACGTTAAAGGATAAACAGGGTTTTTTAGTAAGCAGGAGTAATCCTTCCTTTGAGTGACTAATAAGATCAGAGGGAATAGATGTCTTTGATTCATCTAGAGTAGGCTGTTGCCTCCCAGACCTTCACTGGTCAGGTTTCTGGACAGTAAGAAGGAACATGTAGGCTTTTGAAAAACTTATCAATGGACAAAAAATGCTTTCTCAATCTATAATGCTGATTTGTTAATCATCACCTTCTTCCCTAGCTAATCAACATTAAACTATATTATGTTTTGTTTTGTGAAAAGAGTGTTGGACTTGGGGTTAGAAGGTCTGAGTTTGAATTTAGTTATCCTTACTTAGTGTTTTACTGCCTTTTACTTTTTAAAAAAATATAATAGAGATGATTTAAAGAAAAAAAACAACAACTATTTCACATGCCACTGTAAGGGTTTAATTAAATATACATAGGAAATCTTACTGTAATCATAAGAATGATTATATATATATATATATATTTGTATCTTAGCAATAAAACTTTACATATATATATATATAAAGTTTTATTGCTAAGATACTGCGGTGTAGTAAATTACTTAGTGTGGCTTTTCTACCCATAAGCCTTTGTAAACTCCAAGGTGGGATTTTGTATGAGCAACTGAGCAGCCCCTGATTGCTGAGGCTATCCACCTGGGTTATTTCTGTTGGGAGTGGCACAATACAAT